CACAGCCTCATACTACCCCTGTCTCCAACCCCACATTCACTCAAAGAAAAGTGTATGTGGTTCAAAAGTCAATAGGCCAAGTTAACTCTGTCTTATACTTTGGAGAAAACACTTCTCAAATGATCGACCTGTCTGCAGGTAGGAGAGAAGAGTATCGGACTTACAGGCTCAGGCAACAAAAAGTCAAGCAGATGTGAAAAAGGCCGGCCTTTCACCTTTGTTAGTACATCTATGGGCTGTGGTAAAGAGTCAGTTGTTCTTAGCAAAAGTGACTTCAAGTTTCTGTAAAGAAACTTAGGCAATTGCTCTGTAACCCACTTATTAGGGGTTCTGAGGTCAGGAAAGCCCATAACGGTTTTCTCAGTTATGTGACTTCAAATGTCAGCTATATGCAAGAACCGAGTAGGCAAAGCTCAAAGGAGCTATTATGTTTTTCTACTCAGTAACAATTCCTCTTGGCCCTACTTGTTGCTTGTGTGTCCCTGTTGATCAATACTTGCCATAGCTTATGTAAACCCTTTCCTGAGGGGTTCTGGGTCTTTCCACAACCAGTGCTTTATGCAATGGTGGTAACCCCCACACTTCCACCCTCAGATTCTCACATTGTATTGGATCCTCACAATTACCTATAAGGAAAACCATCCCCACAGTACTCTTGACAAACAGGCTTTTAACCATAAGGAGATGGCTGTAGTCATTGTCAGAACAAAGAAAAACATCTGAAGATATTCTAAGGTGGCATTTGGTGTTACCATTTGGTGACTGGAGAACATTTTTATTTTCCACATCTGCATCTTCTTTATTATATAGTTCATTTCATTTTTAACTAAGGTATAGTTACGCCACTACCTCCTCTTCTTCCCAATTCCTACCCCATCCCACACCACACTCCCTCTCAAATTGATGGTCTCTTGTTCTTTTAATTATTGTTAAACACACACACACACAAACACACACACCATGCTACAGGATTCATTTCCTCTATCATTCACTGTGTTTCCTGAGTCCTTCTTGAGCTGAGAATACAGGAGCTCAGTGATGCATAGTCCTACTTGTGGGAAACAGTTGTAAAGACCAGATGAGAGCAGTGTGGTAGAATTCGAGGGGACACTCACTGCACTGTGACTTTATCTTGTCCTCCCTCAGCCTATGTTGAGGTTAGACATCCTTGTAGAGTCAATCAATCTGGTTCTATCACCCTCATTGTCACATGGCAGAAAGTGGGTGCTATGAGAATAAGAGGAAACGAGAGAAGTGCTTATTGATCAAACTCATGTTCTGGAAGCCACAGTTTGCTCCAAGAGGTTTGTTTGAAATTCCCCTGCTCTGCCTGCACCCCAATATCCACTATGCTTGCAGGGACTTGGGTAGCAGACTGACTCTTATAATTTCCCCAGAGAAATAAAGATAAGTCCTAGGAAGCTCATCTCTGGTTCACAGACACTGCAACTCCAGTGTGTGTTAATGGAGAAGATGGGTTCCTTTATCAGGATAACGATACAAACTTCAGATTTTTTTCCACCTTCAAAGTAGAGTTTTAGGCCTTGATTTAGGAATGATATTTGACACAAGATAGTGGAAGACACTCAGACAATCGAAGGATTTAAATTTACAGGTCCCGTCTTTACTATGATCTGGTTTTTGATCCTTGTTCAGCGGGGGGTTGGGGTGGGGGTGGGGGGGAGGGGGCAGTTATCAGAGTTCAGCTCCTGTCTCAGCTCAGCTCTAGCTAGGATCTCTGAAGCTTGGACAAATCTTTCATTGGAATTTTATTTCTTCATTACATACTGGACACATGAGTGTACACACACAGCCACAATTAATGTCACAAATCACAGATTTAGGGTTTTTTTAGTTTTTCTCATTTACTTATTTTGTAAAAGGCTCCTCCCTAATTGTCTCATCTAAAGCATATCATTTAAAAATTAGCTACATTTACTTAGTGTGTGTGTGTGTGTGTGTGTGTGTGTACTTCTGTGCATGTAGGGAAATCAGTTCTCTCTGTCTACTATGCGAGTCCTGACATACTTCTATCACTGTATAGGTTTTATTAGCCATGGGCTTGGTCATTGTATTAGATAGTTTTATGCCAACTTGATGGAAGCTAAAGTCATCTGAGAAGAGGAACTCTCACCTGATAAAATGCCTACATGGGGTCAGGTTGTAGGCAGGTCTGTAGGGAATTTTTAAAATTACTGATCGATAGGGGAGGGCCTAAAGCATTGTTGGTGGTGCCATCCCTGGGCTGGTGGTCCTAGGCTTTATAACAAAGCAGGCTTTAGAAGCCATGAGGAGCAAGCCGGTAAGCAGCACCCCTCTATGGCTTCTGCATCAGCTCCTGCCTCCAGGTTCCTGTTCTGCTTGAGATCCTGTCCTGACTTCTTCAATGACAAGCAATGATGTGTAAGTATAAACCAAATAAACTTCTTTCTCCACAACTTGCTTTTGGTCCTGATTGAAGCAATAGAAATCCTAACTTAGACAGCCATCGATGATAAAAACAAAACAAAACAAAAAAACGTGGTGGTGTGGCTGAGTCCAAGTTTCTCAAAATTGTTACAGGTGAGAGAGATGAACAGGCAAATTGAAAATGGCACTGGAATGTGCCCATGCATAGGAACAATCCAGCTGTCACTGCAGGGAATTGTCTTTACATCCTTCTGCAAGGCTATGGATCCTGGGATTTGGGTCAGAGGACAGGGTTCATATAGGGGTCAGGACAAAAGTGGCTCCATCTAAGCTGAGTGCTTATCATTTAATTCAAGCTAAAGTCAAGATATCAGGCGTGTACTCAAGGCTGAAGGCACTGGGTCTGGTGTAAAGGCCCGTGTAACACTCTCCTGATTTGTTTGTCTTTTGCACACTGAGAAATTATGAGAAGAAAACCGGGTAGGACTAGTTAGGTGCACAACTGGGATTTTTACTCAGATGGCTTCAGTCAGGTCAGACTGAATGCATACATATTTGTGTTATACCAAAGTAATTTTATAGTTTTGAATATGGAAATAAAAATGTGAGTATAAGTACTTCATTGTCTTTTATGTACTGTACAGTGTTAAAGATTTATTTTACTTTTAGGTGTATAGGTAAGTGTGCATATGTGTTCATGTGTGTGTGTGTGTGTGTTTGTGTGTGTATGTGCCCAAGGAAGTCAGAGACAGTGGATTTCCCTGGAGCTATAATAAGAGGTGGTTTCGAACTGCCTAATGTGAGGATTGAGAACTGAATTCCAGTTTTCTAGAAGATCAACCACTCAACCACGGAGCCATCTCTCTAGCCTCTCCTGATAGTTATTACTAATGGTGATCTTCATATATATATATATATATATATATAAAAAAAATAATATATATATATTTACCAGATCCTAGGAAATGTTTTTTTTTTTAAAGGATCATTTTTATCCTTTCTCTTGTTGTGTATGTCTCTTTCTCTGTCTCTCTTTCCAAGACAGGATCTTTCTATGTAGTCCAAGCTGGCCACAGACTTCTGCCTCAGTCTCCCAAGTTTGGTGATTGTAAGTATAACTCGCCATGCCCATCCATAATCTTACATTCATGTCAAGTGAACTCCTTGGCTGTCTTTCAATGCTCTGGATAGATTCAGATTGGGAAATGAGATTTTCTTCAGAATTTTAAGATCTTGGTGAGCCCATTTTTATTCCAAAGGATTGTTCTAAATTCTTGTCAGTCATCTTTCCAGTCTTACAGGAATTGAATAAGACCATGAGATTTGAACCAGAAACAAAAATTCTTAGGGTTCTTTTTTCCCCTGCAGAATACAGCATTTTAACAGTAAGAAGAAAATGCATTCTGACAACCATCATGTATTCCAGACTATGTGTACAGCCTCCAGTGATCTGTGCCACTTAGCTGGACATTGTCCACATTATAGGACAAAGTAATTAGTTAGACTTAAAGGAACTAAGGCTTCAACTGAGCCCGTAGGCACCTCACACGCTGTGTTAATTCCAAGTTTCCATTTGCTCCTGTGATGGAGTATCCTCCTGGCTAGAAATTGCTCAATGTAGCGTATAGAAAAAGCAATGTCCACTACTTCTAATTATGCTGTGGGATATACTGGCTTCTTTTCAGATTATATAAATCTATGGTCTTTTACAGTTCCATCACGAAGCTTAGCGGAGTCACCAAGCCTTTATTATCCCCATGAAGTCACCTTTCCCTATTTCTGAAGGCACTTATTTCACATGGGCTTTCAAGAAGAAAATGAAAATTTCAAAGTCTGAGTTTTAGTTATAGATACAAGGGTGATAGTCAGTAACTTTAACTGTAGTGAATATAATCACTAGGTTCATTTTGGCTTCAGAGCATTCAAATGGAGCAGAGATGTTCATTTGGGTAAAATTAATATGTGTCAGAAATAGAGTCAGATGTTCGTCATATCAATATAATTAATTTTTGAAACTCATTGAGTCTTTCAAGAAAGGAGAGTCAATTAGTGAACAGTAAGTTACCTTCGAAAAGAAACTCTTCCCACAGTTTATTGTTCAAAGGTACTATTAGAAAATGTGTCTTTGAACAGTGAATACATTTTTAGCTTAAAAATCAGACATTTGATTAGAAAAGAAGTTAAAACAAAGCACCAGGTACAGTGATGTGTGCCTGTATCTGGCTATCAGAGAGAGTGAAGAAGTATGGTTGCTGGAATCCAGGGGATCGAGACTGGCTTGAACAACATATTGAGACTTGATCTTTTACAAAAGAGGATGATTAACTTTTCAAACTTTTGAGTCACATGCAGTGTTCCAACTTGAAACTTGCCCTCAAAACAGGATGGGATGTTTCACATAGAAATGCTTTAATTTTGCACATACCTGAGTTTGAACCTCTTGATGTCTTAAGTAACATAAAATACTAATCACAAAATCATCATCTTCTTCTCCTTCTCCTCCTTCTTTTTTTCTTCTTCTTCCTCCTCTTTCTCCTCTACTTCCTCCTCCTCTACTTTTTCCTGCTGACTTAAAATAAAATCAAAATCAGGTGCTATCTTCAGCAGCACTTATACTAAAATTGAAACAATACAGGGAAGATCAGCATCACCCTCACACAAGGATGGCATGAAATCCAGGAAGCAGTCCATATTTTAAAAATAAATAAATAATAAATCAAAATTAATTTCTCTCTAAGACAATGGTGATAGATATCCTTTAGCATCAACTTTCATTTCAATATTGATGATGGGGCAGAAAGATGATAAAATCAGAGAGAGGGCATGGGAGGGGCTAAGTGGCTTTTCTTTGCAATAGTTGGGTTGGTGCTGAGTAAAAAACCAGCATCCATGTAGCTAAGATAAGAGATGATAGTGTTAAACTTACCACAGGTTAAGGGGTGAGAATTTCTTTCCAAAGTGAGCAGAAAGAATGTACAAGAACAAATTTCTGAGGACCCAATCCAGGGTTTTAGAATCACAGGTGTTCACCTACCATGTTCCACTAATGTACCTTTCCTTCTTGAGCATCAGTGTTGAGCTGGGCTGCTCAAAGGCTGCTCCATATTTTCCTCTCAAGGGCTGTTTCTAAACAGCGATAGCTTCTGATGACAGTTGTGAGGAACGCTGTGCAAAAAAGGAACTTATCAATAGGCAAGTGATGTTTGTGTGTCTTTACCATGTAAACATGTCCTTACCATCTGTGAGATTTAAGGCACATGCCTCATGAAACAAGAATCTGTCCAACAAGCAGTGCCACACTGTTAATTCTCCTGAAGAACAAAAACTTGGACAGGATAAACTGGCCTTGCAAGGATTAGGGGAGAAAGGCTAGTCCTTTATCCCACAAGGGGCTATAGAGTCCTGATTCACTCACAGGTGTAAGATCAGATTCTGGGAAGCTGCAAAATGGAAAGTCACATTTCCCCAAAGTCTTTGAAACCCTGTACACCGAAACCACACAGTCTCAGTTTCAGGGGAACCTGCTGACACTTGTCTCATTATAATGTCCTCACTTGCTTTCTACTGTTTAAACAATCTCACTTAAGAAATGAAACCTTGAGGGGACAAGAATAATTTCCAATTATGATTTATGAAAAATATTATTTACATTTTTATAATGTGCCATTTGGACTTATGTTTACCTTTTTGCTCTTTTGATCATATCTGAACAGAATCAGTGAAGGAAGACAGAGCTTGCTTTTGGCAGATGTCAGACTCAGAGGATTGATCTGTGGAGGCATTCTGGATTGCAATAAGTGGTATCCAATGTTACACCTTCCTAGCTCAAAGGTGTCTAGGTGCCACTTAAGTGAAGAAGGCTTTCAAGAGCACAGAATTTCAGCACTAAAACTGAGATTCTAGGAGCGCAAAGGCTGTGGGCCAGCAATGGATAATACAATGGGAAGGAGCAAAAGAGAGTGTTCATTATGAAGAGGAATTACCTGTTTGGAATGAAAACAGAGAAATACATATCAGGAGGGGCATAAAAAGCTAAATCCCTCACTCTAGCAGGAGGTCAGTGACATCCATGTTAAGTTTCCAAAAAAAGTATGTTTCAGAAGCCCTGAAAGATTTTCCTATATATTTATTTTATTTAATCTGTCTAGTAACCATTTTAATAACTTAAACTCTCATATTTAATTTTGAACTTATCACTAATGAACAAAATCGTAGTGTATTCATAGCCTGTGGTGTCTTATTTTTATGGATGTACTCTGGAATGACTAAACTGGGGTTCTCAATATACCCATTAGCTCCTTTTATCATTGAGATCTTTTCAAATCTGCCCCTTAAACAACTTGCAAGGCCATGATGTAGCTGTAGTCACTGTACCAGACAGTTTCTTTCTGGTATCTGATGCAACTTCCATATCTTTAGATTGACATCTCTCCCGTCTCCGAACTCTCTGTCTCTTTCTGTTTATCTGAGCCTGGTTAGTTTTCAAACACAGTGGAAATAGGTGAGACTGCCCGATGTCTGCCTTTCAGTGCTTGGATTGCTTTGTTTGGTGTCTCCTCTATCTACTTATGTTGTTAAAACTGACAGTTTCCTATTTGAAAGGCTGAATGATATTCCACTGTAGAGTTAGACCACACTGTCTGTATCTCTTCACCAGCACATGGAAACCCAGTTTGAATTCATGTCTCAGCTATTGTGAATAATCATTGGAGTCAGATACCTGGACACATCCAGGGGCAGGACTGCTGAATCACTTGGTCGTTCTAGATATAGGCCTAAGGGAGGGCTGCATATTTTTACTTTTAGAGAAACACCCTACTGCTTCCCACTTGGCCTCACTTTCCCCTATCCTCACCAACAGTTTTGTTTGTTTTACAGTGGAGACTGAACTCAGGATCTCATACATGCTAGGCAAGTGCTCTACTTCTGAGTGACACTCCCAGCACTTCATCTTTATATTGATTATTTTTTAATAGCAGTTTTTCTGGTAGGTGTGAATTGATGGCTCATTGTGATTTTAATTCGCGTTTCCCTGGTGATTAGCAATGTAGCTCATTTTTTTCCCTCATACATGCTGGCCGTTTGTATGTCTTCTTTTGAGAAATGTCTGTTCGGGTCTAGGTTTCCTGAATTTCAATGAAGGAGTTAAAGCTTGCAGCTAAGTGATTTGTCTCATCTGCTCACTCATTAATTCATTAAAAATATTGAGTGTCTGCTCTATGTCAAACACTGTCAGGAGAAATATATCCAGGGATGAAGCAGAGTCTCTCTTTTTGTGAGATTTATGTTTAAAAGGACAACATTGGCTCCTATTGAATACTTGCCTCATGCAAGACAGTTTCCTTATGTTCTCATTTGCTGCCCACAAGTCTACCTAGTCCCCTGTGTGTCCCACTTTCTACACAGAGAAGTAGAATTCCAGACAGTACCTTGTCTAAGGCACAACAGATGCAAAAATCCTGAATCACAATTCCCAATGAGTCCCTATGTCATGATGGGGGAGGGGCAGTTCTAGTCCCTGAAGCAAGCTCCAGACGTAGGGAAAGCTAGGAATACCTACCTGTGCTGATTCCTCTCATAACCTTCACGTGGGTCCTCCTACCTGCTCATGTCAAATGGGAAGACATTGTGCTACCTAACAGGAGCTCCTATGTCCTGCCCAGTTTTTATTGCCCACTTGACATACTATAGAGCCATCTGGAGAGAGGAAAATTTAACTGAAGAATTTTCCAGATCATATTGTCCTGGGCTGTCTTGGTTGATGCTTGACCAGAAACGGCTCATCCCACTGATGGTGGTGCCGTCTGAAGGCAGCTGGGCCTGAGCCAGGGAGCCTGCTAGGGATGCTAGCTTGCATCTCCTTTGTTGCTCTTGCTTGATTCCTGCTCTGTAGAATAGTAAGCCCACCTGCCTTCAGGCTCTTGCTGAGCTCCTACCTTGACGTTTCTCAGTTGATGACCTATGATCTGGAATTGAAAGATATAAAACCTTTTGTTGTTGTTGTTGTTGTTTTGTTGTGTTTTTTTTTGGCTTAGGGGGTGCAGTGGTTTCAAGACAGGGTTTCTCGGTGTAGACCTGGCTGTCATGAAACATACTCTTTAGACAAGGCTGGCCTCAAACTCAGAGATCCATCTGACACTGCCTCCTGAATGTTCCACCACTACACACCTACCTTTCTCCTTCTAAGTTGCTTTTTGGTTACAGTGTTTCATCACAGGGATAGAACACTTTCTTTAGAACCTGAGAATCTCTCTGTTGATGAGGATCTTTGGGGATTCAAACTTAAATGCCAAGAGATGATGAGTGAGAAAGGAGAAAACAACAACAGCAACAGCAACAACAACAGCAGCAGCAGCAACAACAACACAACAACAGCAATGTTGGGTGAGAATTTCAGGATGATTTTATGGCCCCCAACATACTCTCCTGTTGCCCAATTCTGCCTTTGTTGTTGTTGTTGTTGTTGAGTGGTTACACATAATTTAAAAGCCAGATCTGTCATGTGTGTCTGACTAACCTTTTTGAACATCAATAATGTAATTTATGTAACAATAGCAATATTGCATCTTTTAGTGTCATTGAAAGGATCATCTAATGTCATTGAAAGAAACAGATAAGCACTGAGAAACACTTCTGGCACACAAAATTATTCAAGACTAGAGCATATTTATTTTACTTATAAGGCAATATTGTATTATTTAAATGAGCATAGTGTACTATCTAAGTTACAGCATTTTCCCTATACTCACCTGTCTAGCTGACCAAGCTTTGTGCTTGAGTTGGGCAGCATTACGTCTTTGGCTTAGTCTGTGTCCTAACTGGTTTGAGTTGAGTACTTCATTTTGAGCAGCTACACATAACAAAACTTTATTTATAGAGGCTGAGAGTCCTCGATAGAGATGCCAGCAGATGTGGTTTTGGTGAAGGGCTGTCTCCTGCTTTGTAGATGATTGCTTTTGCCTATGTCCTCATGTCGTGCAAAGGGCAAAGGATAAGAAATCTCTCTGTATCAGGTTAGTGATCCAGTTGGTCAGGATCTCAGCGTCAGAATCTAATCATCTCCCCAAGGCCTCATCTCTTCTTGCCATCCCATCAAGGGGTTAAAATAAAATGTATGAAGAAGTGGATATGTCTAAGATATTTCTGAGCGAGAGAGAACCTACTATTCCCCTAGTGTCAGCCTTTGTGTGTTTTCTGCCCTGGACAATTTGACAAAACACCAAAGGAATAAATATCATGGCAACAACCTTGCCATGCCATTGTCTCCTTAGGACTAGCAGGGCCACTTGGACAAACTTGATATTTACTTAGACTTTATTTTGACATTTTTCAGTGAAACCAGCCATCTCTTTAATGATTCAGTTAATGTCTGGATTTTTTTTTCATATTTAGTCTCAGTTTCCTAGATTAAAGGAGATGAACATATATGGAGATCACACAAAATAAAAATCTAGTTGAAGGTAAACTGCTAATATATTTTATATTATGTGTGTAGAATAGCCCTGTTAATGTCTTTCAGAAACCATTACTAATGAAATCAAATCAAATGAAGAACTGCTTGCTATCTGGAGCTCTGCATACAAGGACTTTCTGAACTTTTATGAAGAAATCATGGAAGTGAATTGTATACACTTTTCTCTCTCTAATAAATGAAAGATAATAGGGAATATTAGCTTATCTGCTAGACAAGCTAAGTG